TTTTCTCATAAAAATCTCATCATGATGAATTATTGTTGACAAGAAATGTTTTATTCACTTCCCCATCATCCTATAGCACTATTATTTTATTTCAATTGAATTATATTAAAATTATTGCTTTAATGAAGTTTTTCCAGGACTTGATAAACTGATTGATTGTTGCAAGATTTATTTAGCATTGTGTCTTACAGATTGTTTACTGCCATGCAGGGATCTTTAAATAATTTTTGATGAAATGTTTGCTTTAATTACAATTTTTTGTGATGAAAATTTTGAAATGCAGTACAATATAATTTCGTCTCAACAAATATTTTATAAGAAATGATCAATTCCAACAAAGGAGTTCTTATTTATAAAGGTCCCTGCCCAAGAGCCAAAATATTGAATGATTCACTATATGTACCAAAATTTTGCTACAATGAAGCTGTTTAGCTAGACCCAATGACTTTGTTGTAACAAGGCTTCACTATACTGCAATGAATACTGTATTTCTGTTCAATGCAAATTTTAAAAATGCACGTTTGTTATTATCAAGAGAATTATATTTGAATTAAAATGTCCTAGTGATAGCAAACAAAGGTCATGAGCAGTTTTTATAATGGCAATTTTTATGATACTGTATATATTTTATTAGGTGAACTCTGTCTACAACAAAATTCAAGGGGCCAGAATTTAAAAAAAGAGAATCACAATAAAATGGGGAAAGAATATTATATGGGACCAAAAATCATTATACAGCAGAGAAAGCCCTTGTAAAAAAGATCATTGTAAAGAGAGTCCAGCTGTTTTTTTATAACAGAAACTTTGTTAAAATACAATTTTCTTAAATTTTGAAATTTTAAAACAAAAATTATATTAAAATAAAATTGTGTTAATGTTCTATTTAAATTTTTCTGTAATGAAAATGGTGTTATAATTCAAATTTTACATTTAAATTCCTTCATAATAATGAGCATCTTACTTTATAAACTCAAATACTGGTTTAGTGTATTTTGAGAAGTTGTTGGAAGGAAAATTTATCTAAAACGGCATATATTGTTTAAAACGGAATTTATCTCGTAATATGCATTAATAGATGCATCGTACTTCTATGTCATATCATCATCCTCAAATAAGGTTTGGCAGTCCGAAGCAGTTCCAGCCAACTGCTCTCGCCAGCTTCCCATGCTCGGGCAACACCTGGATGCGGAAATTGCTGGAGCAGGGCTCGGGCTACTTCACGGGCTCAATTTACAAGGACACGGTTCTCCAGGCTTCAGGTGCTGTGTGCTGATAAATTGAGACTCGATGCACATCATCAGCAGACTCGATGACACAATGATGACATGTTTTCAGTGACACCTTGATTGCCTGCATAACATATTGTACAGTACTGCTAATGGTTTTAGTGCATATTGGATGATTAGGGTGATAGGGTCCTATGATTTTTTGTACAGTAAATGCAGTAAGATCGCATCTTAACAAATTCAATTACAACAAACTTGTTGGCAATGACAAGCTTTTTTCTCAAGCCCTAGTAAAAAGCCCATAGAATACTATTTGAAGATCTTTCTTTATACTGTAACAAACTTCCCATTATCAAGTCCAGTACTGTATAACAAACATTTTGAGGAATGATCAGTGGATTGTCTGGGTAGAAATTTCCTGATCAAGGCAGGAACAGTCTGAACTTTCCAATCATAAATGTGACTGCTGGCTGTCTCTTATTGTAAGTTTGATAGAAGCTGCAATCTATGGCAAACATGCTTCCAAGTGATACCACAAAACATCCACCCATAAAAAATGAAGAGCTTGGGGCAACTGATACAATAAATGCATGATTGAAGCTACAATAAAAAAATTTCAGGTGACTGAGGTTTTCAAATGACAAAACATTTGAGGATGCCAGAAAAGCCATATTTAATTTATTATATACACAGGTTTGATGCTGAAATTGTTTCCACTCATTTGATTTTGAAAATCTCAGGATGACAATTTATTCAGTATGATAATTTTTTTCTGAAATTCCCAAATGTTTATTGAAACACGATTTTACTGTACATTTAGGTTTCTATGGAGAATTTGCTGGTCCAGCTGATGGCACTACGATTGTGACCAAGACTCATCAGCATGGTGTCAGGGATGTGCTTGATTTCCGCAATGGTTCCGCCGTGCTGCTCATCAGGAATCCTTACAAGGCGATATTGTCATTCCATAATTTCCTGTTCGGGGGTCACACTGGACATGCCCCTGTGGTCAACTTCTTCAGAAAAGGTCTGTTGGATCTATATAATTTTCCCAGTCAATTATTTACAGCATTATATCTGCTATATATATACAGGAATGCTCTTTCACATTATTATGTCAGGTCATTTAATGCATACAGTAATTATTGTTGATGTGCGTGCTGGAAATATTGTACTCTGTGTTTAAAGTCGTCCCCTGTTTTGGCGTTTTGTGATTTTGTGTGCCTGTGATTTTGTGTGTAGAGTACAGTACTGTATGCTGCAAAAAATAATTGCAAAAGCATATGAGTTATCATTTTTGAAAATATTTAAACAAAAATGTTGAACAAAGACACCCCGGCAAATTATATTGTGCAGCTTTACACATTTTATTTTTGCCTATTCCACCTTTTCAAATGTAACCTGGGAGATTTTTAGACACAGTCATCTACAAAAACAAACCCCAAGGACAATATAGGAACAGAAAGGAAATTTATCTTTTGACTTCCTTGATGCTTAAACCCATAATGCTGAATTTTAGAGTTTTTTTATTCTGCAGATTGGGGAATGTTTTTGGACAAAGCTGGAGAAAACTGGCTGAGGACAGCACTGGACTGGATTCAACAAGGGAAAGAACAAGGCCTGAGACTTCATGTGGTCCATTATGAAAATTTGGTTGCCAATCCAGCTGCCACATTATCAAAAACATTAAAATTCCTCAAATTGCCTATCAACATTGAAAGGATCACTTGCATTTTGGTATGCTCATTACCATCATTTCCTTCCCATTGAAAAAACAGTAATGCATGTGTTTTACTTTTCAGAATGAGAAGAAGAAAGAGGAGAAGTTCAAGAGAGAAACAGGCTACTTGCCCATGAGTGCCTCCACCATTTTTCCAACAGCTCAGAGGAACAAGTTGGACAAGGCAATCAAGTATTTACAGGGAATCCTTCAGTCTGAAGGCTTATCCTTGATTCCACTGGAAAATTATGAGTTCTTCCAAGGAGCATCATCAGCACCTTCATTAAACTTCATCCCTTGTCAGGCTGATGAAAAACTTCCTCATGTGTGTGCTAGCAGAGTCCAGAGGCTGAATGATGCTTTGCCCAGGTTCAAACTCAAGTTTAGGAGAGGACCAAATTCTACAGAAGAATTGGAGACATTTGCAGTGCAGAATTTGGGAGATGCTGCAAATCTAGTCAGCCGGGCTTGGAATGATTTTGTGCCTCTATTGGCAGATCCACTGAGGCAGACCTATGATGAAAAGTGAGCATGCATTTTCTGGGACATGCTGATGATATGGAAGTACAAATTTGTTTTTGATGAGGGTTGTATATACTTGGTTGCTATTGTGATAAAACTCATTTATATATTATATAAATGGAAATGCAAAAGATAGTGAAGAATTTATTCCAATGTTGTCTACATTGAAAGTTTTTTTTTACATGAAACAGATGTTTGAAGTCAATCCTAATTGTTACATTTCATTGACTACATAAATTCAGAATGAACTTGATGAACTTTAAAGATAATTTCGGATTCCTGCACCATATATATGCATGGAATAATGGATTAAGTCAGCTTCTATAATATAAACTGCTGCAGTGGGAGTTATTGACAGCTATATACCTCCAGTTCATATTATATTGTCTGAGGCAACAATATAGGAAACAATATCTGCTGCCACATTTACTGAGACAACATCCATAAAATTCTAAACACCAATTTTCAACTTGAATAATTCCAATTTTATTTAATTTTATTTGTTAAAATGTACTCATTTATTATAGCTGCTATATTGATGCTATACTGTCAAACTTTTTTTTACTTTGAACTCAGATTAGGGACACAAACATTTTCCTTAATTATAGGATTCTAAATTAGGGAAGCCAATCACATCCATTTTTATTGAACCCCGGGATGCATGCATGCACGCAGCAGCAGTATACAGTACTCAATACTGTACTGTACGAGCTGCATATGCAATTTGTGGGCCGTGTGCAACTGATGGTTGAAAGTACTGTATAGTTTATGAAAAGCCACAATTAACCATCACCCTTCCAAAACTAAATAAAATGGCTTCTCGAGTTTCTCTGGATTTCGTCTTTGTGGTTAGACTTATACGGGAAGTATTCATTTTTTGTACTATACAGTACCGTACTGTCCATTGTATCGTAAACAGGCGCTGGAGTGCGTCATAGGACACATTAGCAAGTTCGTTCTTTTATTGTAGATGGCGCTGCGTAAATTCCTGTCCGTCCGGAATCAAATTAAGAAAGACACAGACTCCGTCTTCGTCCGAAGTCACTAGTTCGGCAGATCCACGATTTTTAATGAGCACGTGTCCGTTGTTTCTCTCTCCCGCCGTTGCAGGGGGTTTATTTGCATGGAAAAATAGAGTGATGATACTTTTATCTATTGTCTCTCTAAACTATGATACTGTGTCGGTAGTCGCCTACATAGTTACATATAACCTCGTAAGAATTGCTCAGAATCTATCGAAGTCCCGTGAATGATGAGTCGCTGTCGTTATTAGTTATCATGGTTTTTCAGCCACGGGGACGGCGAGGGTGATTTGTGCCCAGTTTCCACGTGCATGATTTAATCGGAATGCTGATGGATTTTTACAGTTTCAGAAGGTGTACAATTAATTCTCAGGAACCTTCGGCAATTCCCTGAAAAATGCCTCTGAAAGGAGAATTAAATGCTCAACAAGCCCGGACGGAGCATACATTGGCTGTTGTTCGTGACTACCTCAGTCAGCCTCGCCTAAGTGAGTCGCTCAAATCTGATCCGCAGGGAGAAATTAATCCGAAATCATGGACAAATTGAGAAAAGTTAACATTACTCCCCGAATTAATCAAAACATGCAAAGAATGAGTCAGATTCATGGAGACCAGTGGTCCCCAGTTGAGTATCGTTGTAACCCACCGAAAAGCATCGATGGTCTCGGTGCCTTGAACAAAATCGGATCCTACGTCAAATCGTCGCGGTACCCAGATAAGCAAATCATAACTCGTTTGCAAGCTCAGTTTGAACATTCGTGTGCCGTCACTCGCGATTACAGCAGACAACCCCGTTTGTGTGAGTAGATAGAAAGAAAACTTGTATCGAGAGAAGCTTTCTGTGTGAACCATCCATGATTTATTGTCCTAACCAATTAAAACTATGACCTGGCATATGTTTGCAGATTACAAAACAGTATCCGGTGTTAATGGACCTCTGGTCATCTTGGATGATGTCAAATTCCCGAAGTTCGCCGAAATTGTCGACTTGCATTTGGCGGATGGCACAACTCGTTCAGGACAAGTTCTTGAAGTATCGGGATCTAAAGCAGTAGTGCAGGTAAATCTTGATGGAACCGTCATAGGACAGTAGATAACCTCCTAGTGAATGTTCTATAAATTTCACGTAACGTGTCTTTCGTGCGAATATTTAAATCGCACGTTTTAGAGAATATTCTATCTGGGGGTTTTGCATCAAAAACAGTTGTGGAACACCAATCGATGCTTGAAGAGAAGCATTATAGTTTGGAACCATGAAATTATTTTGTGTTCCAAGTAGAGTAATTCGCTGTTAATTAGTGAAATCATGTATTAATACTTTTCACGATGTTCTCCAATTTTTCGATTGAATTTCTCCCATAGGTGTTCGAGGGAACATCTGGAGTTGATGCGAAGAACACAGTATGTGAGTTCACCGGGGACATTTTACGGACTCCCGTGTCGGAGGATATGCTGGGCCGTATCTTCAATGGATCAGGGAAACCAATTGATAAAGGTCCGCCAGTACTTGCCGAGGACTTCCTTGATATTCAGGGTCAGCCCATCAACCCATACTCTCGTACGTACCCTGAGGAAATGATTCAAACTGGGATATCCGGCATCGATGTCATGAACTCCATCGCCCGAGGACAGAAAATTCCCATCTTCTCGGCAGCTGGGTTACCACACAATGATGTGAGTACGTTTTGAAGATTTCATTTTGATCGAATGTGGTTGTCGGAATTGGTTTAAATTGTCTGGACTCATTTATTGGTGCTATTATGTACTTCAGTGTATCACTCTCGAAGAAGCATCTCATTTATCCAGAAATACGCATCTACCCCAGCGTTTCTTCGTGTATCAGTGTCATCTTCCGTATAGTCTTTATCTTACCTTGTGTATCACTGTCGAAGAAGCATCTCATTTATCCAGAAATACGCATCTACCCCAGCGTTTCTTCGTGTATCAGTGTCATCTTCCGTATAGTCTTCATCTTACCTTTTTCTGTCTTCTTTCCACTCTGTGAACATTTTTCCGAGTGTAAGTTTTTTTTCATTCTCCGTTCGCATAGATCGCTATTTCGAGGTGATGTCGGGTATTTTCTCACCAAACCTAGTGCAGACAGAAATTAAGTATGACGTGGGTTTGGATCTGAATAGTTGCCAGTGAATCAAACTGTTGGTTGAATGCTGGAAATTTACCCTATCGGGATTTTCTTCGTGAATCTCAGCTTCGAAGTCAGAATAGGTTTTCAACAAGTGTGTGAATTGACAAAATTGAAACGGCTTTTTTCCACTTCTTTGTATCAGATTGCGGCCCAGATTTGTCGTCAAGCCGGTCTTGTGAAACGTGCCGAGAAAGGCGGAGTGAAAGACGATCACGAAGACAACTTCGCCATTGTTTTCGCAGCCATGGGAGTGAACATGGAAACGGCTCGTTTCTTCAAGCAAGACTTCGAAGAGAACGGAAGCATGGAGAACGTGTGCCTGTTTCTCAACCTGGCCAATGATCCCACGATCGAACGAATCATCACCCCACGTCTGGCCCTCACGGCAGCCGAGTTCCTCGCGTATCAGTACGAAAAGCACGTGTTGGTCATCCTCACGGACATGTCTTCGTATGCCGAGGCCTTGCGGGAAGTGTCGGCAGCCCGAGAAGAAGTGCCGGGTAGACGAGGGTTCCCGGGTTACATGTACACGGATTTGGCGACGATTTACGAGAGGGCCGGCAGGGTGGAAGGCAGAAACGGATCCATCACGCAAATCCCGATCCTCACGATGCCGAATGATGATATCACGCATCCGATCCCGGATTTGACCGGATACATCACCGAGGGACAGATTTACGTGGACAGGCAATTGCACAACCGGCAGATTTATCCTCCAGTCAACGTGTTACCGTCATTGTCGCGTTTGATGAAGTCTGCCATTGGGGAAGGGATGACCAGGAAAGATCACGCTGATGTCTCCAATCAGTTGTATGCGTGTTATGCTATCGGAAAGGTCAGTCATTTGCATTCACCACGTACTTTTTTTTCAAAACGCATGAAGTTACATTTATATTGCTTTTCTTTTGCCTGTGTCCATAAAATAAAAGCCAAAAGGCGTCAAAAAAATTCAAGTCATGGAGGTATGAGGAGAAAAGCCTTCGATTTTATTAGGTTTTTAATGCGATGTTTACAAGGGAATTCAGACTGGGACTTTTTAAAAAAAATCGACAGGTATTTGAATTATCGAGGGTCAACTTCATTTATTACGTCAATTTTCGCAGAGTCACTCGGCCGCAAAAGTGTTTCGTGAAAGAATCCGATTGTGACAAGTGCATTCCGCTTTTTTGTTGGGAAGAAAAACTATTTCGAATAGCGCCATTGAAAAACCGGTGCACTCGAAATGTTCGTTTGTTGAATTTTGTTTCAAAATCGCGTTTTTTAAATTGAGATTCCCTCGTTTTCTGTGCATTTGAAATTTAGCTTCATGGTGATCGTGAATGAGGGGGGAAAGAAAATTCAAATTGCTCACAGAAGTTTTGAAAATTCTTCCAACTAAACTTCATGTTTTCTGTGGTTCTTGTAGGATGTGCAAGCCATGAAGGCCGTTGTTGGCGAAGAAGCTCTGACATCCGAGGATCTGTTGTACCTAGAGTTCTTGAACAAGTTTGAGAAGAACTTCGTCAGCCAAGGTGGGCATTTTGATTCAAAAATTGAATTTTTTCATACGATCTCTGCCTCGCTCCGTAACATTTCAAAACCGTTGATGAGTGTCAAGCTCGACATAAGGATTGAGCGATTTTTAATAACACCCTTCCATGAATTTCTAGGGTCGTATGAAAATCGAACTGTTTTCGAATCACTGGACATTGGATGGCAATTGCTGCGTATCTTCCCGAAGGAGCTATTGAAGCGTATCCCTCAAGCAGTCCTTGCGGAATATTACCCGAGAGATGGCAGGAAGTGAATGGTTTCCTGTGGGCTCTTTCGGAAGTCATTTTATCATGTGGTTATTCATTAGCCGTTTTTCTGCTTCTTGTGGGAAAAGCAGAATTTTTGTGAGTCAAGCAACGTTCCAGTGCAATATTTCATCAATTGCCTTTTTCTTCTCGTTGAGTTTGTGCGTTTATGATCCAATATTGTTGTTTTCGTGTTCCTCATTTCGGAGTGAACGCTGAAATTTTGTTTCGTTTTGACATTGTTTGGTTTTATACACTGGGTGATGTGGTTTGATTACGTATTCTAGTGGAAAGCTTTTGAACATGAACCAAAGATGGATACGAATGAGCATTGAATATGAGTTGGTACTTTAGATGTCGTAAGCCGGACTTATCGCTAAAACTGGGAATGTGTCACATGGACTATTCCTGTCAGAAATCGAACTAAATAAAACCTGTGTTACTGAAATCGAATTGGTTTCAATGAAAAACCTATTACTGTACATATAGACTCTCCACAAGGATTTCGTCTACAAACATTTTCTGTGTACAGTAACAAGATTTTTCGGTCCCATAGGGTTCTACCCTTCTCATAAGGGTGTTGTAAAAACATTTTTCTCTCGTACCTGATTTTTTTTTGTAAATTCCATCTACTTTTAATTTGAAAAGTGATGTCAGTGAAATTTTGTAAATTTGAGTAGTCTCAAAGATTTGAAATAGGAGTTATGATAAGTTTGGGGGTGTTTGATAAAATTTCAGACGGAAAGGACCATTTGAATGGGATTAAAAGATTTTTTAAATCTAGAGATTTCCACGTGAAGAAAAATTAGTGAAACAAAGATTCAAAAATAGACGCCCAAATGCCTTACGAATGATCTGTCACCGTTCTTTAATTTGAGCAGTTGGAAATTTCTAACTCATGCTTCCTAAGTTGGAAATCTCTGAACCTCAAACGTTTTTTTGGTTCCTGTCTGAATTCCCTTGTCAACCATATTGTCATTAATTTTCTTCCAAATCTAAAACTTTCATAGCCAAACCTCCATAATGTAACTCTTTAATTTCTGGATGCATTTTACAGACTATTGTGGACCCAAAAGATAAAAAATCGAAAAGAATGTGGCAATGTTTTTCAGAAGGAATTGAGTGATTCATTTGACAAACCTTGCCTTTAAATTCAGAATCTTGTCCACTCCAGCATTTTCAGGCCCAGAAGATCCCTAATTCCACCTCCTTGCTTTTCTTAATTTTTTCTTGTAGAATGTAATCAGTGAGTCCCTCTGCCTTTGATGTGTAAATTATTTGAATGGGGCTTGTCGATGATTTAAAAGAGATCTGCGGACCAGTGCCAGTCCGCAGAAGTTTTTTCTGGTCTGTGGGAAATTTTCTTCAGCAAAATAAGGTTATCAATTTTTTTAGTGAAGCCTGTTTTCTTTATCTGAAATTTCAAGAAGACACTGGCAGCGGAAATTATCTGATGGAAAATAAAAGTTGGCTTTTCTCCTGGTGACACTTCAAGCAAACTTTGACCTGCTGAAGTAAATTAATTCAAGTGCTGTATTCATTTTGAGAAACCTTTCTTGAAGCCCAGCTTTCTAAATTTTTGAAGACATTCCAATACAGCTGCTTTGTTGGTACTTGGACTTGCTGGAGAACCATTGGACTTTATGGCTCTATTTAAAAATGTTGCATTGACTTTATGAAACTTTGCTGGCCCACAAAACATTTTATGGAATTTTGCCAATCTGCGCCCAAAAAGATTGAAGAATAACGCAGATTCAAATTCATTCAAAATCAATTTGAAATGATTTATGGCTCATTCTGATTCATACACTAATACATCACAGATTTTAAGTACAAATTGGGGAGAATTCAGTGAGATTTGTGCGTTGTCCCTTTTCTGTTTGCAATTGCGTTCTTATTCCTCAGTGGTGCTTTCGGGTCCCAGGTGTTTTTCCCGCAGGGCCCGGGCAGCGGCTGAGAACCGCACCCTGCCCGGAAGCAGGAAGGAATCCCGTTTCCGCTTCTTGCCGATGGCACGATTGAGAATGCTGGTCGCTATGACTGTCTTGGGGGCCCAGCTCTGCAATTCCGTCTCCAGGTACCCGTCGTCTGCCTTCCAACTGCCAATCACGTTCACTTCGTCATCATCAGGGAATGCCGGGAAGATTTCATTGGTTGCTTCCTCATCGAACCTGTGATGGATGATGGGTATGGGTTTTTTTTTAATATGAGTTGGATTTGAGTAGGCATGAAATCTTATGATCAACTATTATCGTCAGGCGGGACACTTTTTGAAAATTTCATGTGGAAATAGCTCGACGTTTTTTTTTTTAAAGCAAATTCAGCAATTGAATCTGGAGAAACAGGCAATATATAAAGTGTAATCTCGTTACAATAAAGGTGGAAGGTATAAAGGTGGACTCTTTCTACAACAATGTTGTCTCACTATACAACGATTTTTTCCTCTGTAATGAGTTCTTCTGATCCTATAGGGAGCTCTATACCCATGTTATAGGGATTCTCTACAACAAAAATCTCTCCATATACACATTTTTCTGGTCCCTTGGTTTTTGTTGTAGATATACAGTTGTTGAACCTCTAAGTTGAACTTCAATGGACAAACAAAATAATTCGACTTAGAGGGGTTTTGAATTAAGCTACAATACAAAGCCTTTTTGTCCTGGGAAACATAGAAAAATTGCTTAAAATTGTGAATTGAAATATTCTGAGGCTGAAATTACTTCTTAAATGAGTTGAAAGCATCCTGAACTTGGAGACAGGGCTCATTTGCCCAATCAAGTCTCTCATCTCCTTTAAAAACAAATCGATTTATGTTTTAAATTGTTTTTTCTTGCTTGTGTCAAGAAAGATAAAAGTCAACAGGCCACAGAAAATTCGACTTTTGGAGGTTTTAGGGGAAAAGCCTTTGACTTAGAGAGGTTTTAAATGCATTAGTTCTAAGGGGATTTAGACAGGACCTGAAAAAATTTGACTGAGGGAGGTTTGAGTTATTGAGGTTCACCTGTATAGAGTCCACCGCCTGTTATAATCATAAAGAATTCTTGTTTGCAGAAAAATGCTCCCAATTTTTCATAATTTCCTATTTGCTCTCTTGAATTAAAAAAATGAAGAATCTGAATGTGGATTACAAATTTGTATTTGCAAAAAGCTTTGAAATTCATCTTCTTGATGTTTTTTGACTGTTTAGTACTTTGTACTGTTTTCGTATCAATAACTTTTATAGTGAACAAGCTGGGGGTGCCCAGCCACACCTGGGCATCATGTTTGAAATTTTAGACATATTTTACAATTATATATGATTAGCCCAGCCACACCTGGGTATCATGTTCAGCATTTTAGGAATACCTTTAAAATGTCATGCAATTTGACCTGGATTCAAAAATATCTTCACTGTAGCAGTGCTTAAAATATGTCATGTGAACCCTTATTGATCTTTCCCTTTTGCTGAATGCAGCAATTGTTATCCTGTTGGACACAACTGGCACATGGGAAAACAAATTTTTACTTCTCTCATGGACCTAGGGGGCCATAATTAATGCCTGATCTGCTCATAGTGCACCTGCACATACAAATTTTGGTATCCTTCTGTGTCATAGACTGAATTGATAAAGTCTCATACAGTGATGCTTGGCCATGCCCTGCCTTTGCACAACAAATTTCCTATTTTCAAAATGCTGCATTTCATATGCAAAAGTACATATTTACATGTTTACATTCTCAAGGGGTGTCCATCAGCCACACTTGGGTTAGGGTGGTTAAAACACATAATACCCTGCACATGAAAAATGCCACAAATAAAGTACAAAACACTACCCCACTTTGAAACCTATACCCTTCAAATTCACCAGAAGAAGTTTTTGAATGGGCAATCCCTGCTTTTGACAGCTGAGTTTTAGATGGGAAAATGAACTTTATTTAAAAAGAGAACATTATCTTGTATTACCTAATTACTGTAATAGATATAATAACAGGCTTTGTGCTGAATGCAGCAGTTGTTATCCTGTTTGACACAACTGGCACATGGGAAAGCAAATTTTTACTTCTCTGATGGACCTAGGGGGCCATAATTAATGCCTGATCTGCTCATAATGCACCTGCACATACAAATTTTGGTATCCTTCTGTGTCATAGACTGAATTGATAAAGTCTCATACAGTGATGCTTGGCTGTGCCCTGCCTTTGCACAACAAATTTCCTATTTTCAAAATGCTGCATTTCATATGCAAAAGTACATATTTACATGTTTACATTCTCAAGGGGTGTCCATCAGCCACACTTGGGTTAGGGTGGTTAAAACACATAATACCCTGCACATGAAAAATGCAACAAATAAAGTACAAAACACTACCCCACTTTGAAACCTACCCTTCAAATTCACCAGAAGAAGTTTTTGAATGGGCAATCCCTGCTTATGACAGCTGAGTTTTAGATGGGAAAATGAACTTTATTTCAAAAGAGAACATTAACTTGAATTACCTAATTACTGTAATAGATATAATAACAGGCTTTGTGAAGTTTTTGAATGGGCAATCCCTGCTTTTGACAGCTGAGTTTTAGATGGGAAAATGAACTTTATTTAAAAAGAGAACATTATCTTGTATTACCTAATTACTGTAATAGATATAATAACAGGCTTTGTGCCAAATAGGATTCTTTTTTATAATAATAGGGATATTTTGTAACAGGGAAATTTTTGCAAAATTTGGTGTCACTAAACACTGCAAATTAGAAAAAACTTACTTTTGTGCCAACGCCTAAGCTGGGGAAAAGTCTGATATTTTCTTCTAATCCTGCAGAAAATTTTGAAGGAAAGATGAAAAAATCAATCACTGTGTGGCATTCTTACTGCATATCTGTATT